GCTGGCTCATTCCTTTTACCACTGAGGAGCATTCAGCTGCATGAACATGTTCCTGGCGATAGGCACTGGGTTCCTTCCATTTTTTGGCTATTATGAATAAGGCTGCCGTGGAAATTCTTGTACAAGTCTTTCTATGAACATGTGTGTCCTTTTCGCGTGGGTAAGGACCTAAGAGTAGAGTTGCTGGGTCGTAAGGTAGATACATATTAAATTGTATCATTCACGTCATGCTATTCACCTGTTTAAAGTATGCAGCTCACTGGTTTGCAGTATCTTCACGGGGGTTGTCCAACCATCCCCCCGGTCAATGTTAGAACATTTTCATTCTCCTCAATGAAAGGAGAATGCCCATCAGTGGTCACTCCCCACGGCCTCCAGTTCCTGAGACGGAAAAGGCACCTGCCTTCCCTGCCTTTGTCACCTGGGTGCAATGAGTCCCCACTGCCTTCTGTGTTTCTTACTGATATTCCCTGGCTTTGCTCTCACAGAACTCTGTTGCAGGCATTGAATTCTGACAGCAGCTGGGGGCAGTATAGGCAGCATCATCAAACTCATGCTCCGTCCCTCCCGTTACCTCACGGCATAACTTTGCTGAGTTCACAACAAACCAACTCAAGTGAAAATACCGCGCCCCTCACAGCGACAAGTGGAAGCAGGGAAAAGCCCACAAAGCCCCGCCACGGGCTCGTGGCTCATGGCGCTGAAGGAAGGAGCCTTTGCAGACACCGATATTTTGTTGTTCCTTTGTTTGACCCTGTCCCCACCCCACCCTTGACGATGGCCCAGCCGTGTTCAGGATGGGTGAGATAAAACGTTCTTTCAAAACGTGGTGGCAGAGTGATTGTGAAGGCGGCGGGCATCCAGGGCGGGACGTTCTGGAGCAGACCGGCTCAGGGCGGGAGTGAAGGTTTGGGGAGCGATTCCCGCGAGCGTCCGTGCCGCAGGCCTCGGGACGTCCTCGTGGGCCTGCTGCGGTGTCAGACACCGGCTCAAGCTCACAGCTCTGCCGCAGGACACTCTCTCATGCCCAGGGCTTTGCCGATCCGGCCCCTCGAACGGGGCTCTCGTCCCACGCCCACCCCTCGCCCGGCGGCCCCGCGTTCCCCGGCCTAACTTCTCGTTGTCTCCTTGGCCTCAGCTCATGGGATGCTTCCCTGGCAGCCTCCCCTGTTAACACTCGTCACCCCACGTCACCCCTGCCTGCTGACCTTTCTGTCTTCCTCGGAGGTCTGGGGAGAGCGAAGACGGGGTCAGGCGTGTTTGCTGCTCTGTCCCCACACCAGCACAGGGCTTGGCACACAGTAGGTTCTAGCAATCCCTGTTGACAGAACGAATGGATGAAGGAACGCGGGGAGTCCTTTGGGAGCGTGATCTGCCTAGAAAGCACACAGCCCGTGTGTGGAGGGCCACGCCTAGGACTTGTCGGCAGCTCTTGCCTTTTGTCCGAAATTCCTGCTGCTGTCGGCTCCCCACGGAAGCTGAGGTTTCCTCCATCTCAGGAGCCCTGGTGACAAGAGGGTAAGGTTGGGGCGGTTCACGGTGATAGCCACGGCTGAACATATCAGGAGAATGCGCCTCGGACTGTGTCCATCGCTGGTGCGGGCCACTGCGTGGGTGGTGTCGCTCAGGCGTGTTTGTCGTTTTGTGCAGACGCTGAGTGAGTCGGAAAACTTTGAAGCCGCTGTTTACAAACTGGCCAAGACGCCCCTGATTGCTGACGTCTACTACATTGTTGGGGGCACGTCCCCCCGGGAGGGAGTGGTCATCACGAGGAAGAGAGGTGGCCCGGCAGACATTTGGCCCCTAGATCCTTTGAATGGAGCGTGAGTAGAATTGAAGGCTCTGGTCATTTTGTATCAAAGAATCATTTTTTTTTAATTGGTGAAACTAGGGGTATTTTACATTTTTTTTAATAATTCTTCTTTAGCTGTGTCCTAAATGACCCTGCTCTGTTCTAGGTGGTTCCGAGTTGAGACGAATTATGACCACTGGAAGCCAGCACCTAGGAGCGATGACCGAAGGTAGACTTGTGCACACTTTCGGGTTCGCAGTGTCCCCTCGTGGTCAGGAGAGCACGCCCCGCTGTCACAGGGCCTGGAGAGACCTATGGGTGCTGTCCTCTCCCAGAAAACATTCCTGGGCCCCCTGGCCAGTGCCTTGGGGTCGCCAGGGGCTGTGCGGAGGACACCATGGGCGAGCCTCGTGGCAGCTGGTTGGGGCTGGGAGGGTTGACTTGTCTGGTCTCACTGCCCCCCTGTCCTGGCCCTAAAAATGACTCCCTGGGCGGCTCCTTGGGCCTCTGTTCACCCATCTGTAAAATAAAAGGATAGGGCCAGATTCATGGTCGTCTATGTAAGACTTTTTTAGAAGGAAATCATTTCCCGTAAATAACAAATAAACCAGTTGAGGGCTTCCGTTGTCCTTTCTAATTGTGGAAATTCTATAATTAGGATTGTAGAATCAGCACGGTCCCAAAGAGCTATATACGTCACCTCGGCCTCACTGCCCTACATGTTTGGTGGCCGCTGTGCGATTCTACGGCGACCTGTTTTCCCCGTCCCGCGTTCTTGAGCAGAGGGGTCGGGGGCCCAGCTGCTGGACGAGTTCCACCATGGCCGGCTGAGCCTGGCAGAAAACCTGCTGGGGACCAGAGTCTGTTTCGAGGAGAGGGGGACAGTGAGACTAGGCCTTGCATCGCGCCTCCTAAAATGACAGCTGATGGCCTTCAGGGCTTCCTGGAGTGCCAAGTGACCTTGACCGTTGTCCTTACAGAACACCTGCCATCAGAGCCCTCAATGCCACGGGGCAGGCAGGCCTCACCCTGGAGGCGCTTTTCCAGGTAACTTGTGTCCGGCTCACCCAGAATGTTCGGCGTGTTTGTCAATAGTGATTACAGAAAAATTCTCCTCTCAAATCAAACAAATGTAGTGGATGAAAATGTTAGAATAAAAGCTTTACCTGGTTGAAAACACTTTTTAAAAAGTCAGATAACATTTTCTGAACTTGTTTCCATGTAAGTTAAAGTATCCATCATTTTTTTTCTTTTTTATTCTTTTTATTTGCAGCCAGCTGTTTGTGAAGTAAAGTATCCATCTTCACCCAAGTTTTTCTTCATATTAAAAAGAAAAAGGCACAGTTGTAACATATGTTCATTGTTTAAAAGAAAAAGGAAGGATTAAAAAGTCTCTGACAGTTACCCCAAGATACACTAAAGTGTGAAGTGGTTGTACTCTTCCTGTAGGCACTTTATGTGTATTTCTGCTATGTTTAATATTCTCTGTAATGTGACTTTTTTTCCTATGCAGGTTTTGTCAGTGGTTCCGGTTTGTAACAAGTAAGTGACGTGTTAAATGTCAACCCGGCACAGTGAGCTCTCGCAGGCACCCTGGCCTGGAGGGACCTGAGGGCTCCTCTGACCCGGCTGTGGGCACAGTCCTGTGGGTGCCGCAGCGAACAGTACAAAGTCCCTGCTCTCCTGGGCCTGGCCTGGCATTCTGGCTGGGGTGGGGGGGGCAGGTAAACAAATATAAATCAGATGAGAAGCTCATGACGAAAACCAAAGATATGGAGGATGGCGTGACCCAGCAGGAAGAGGGCAGTGACACATTCTGGCAGCTGTGAACAGCTGTCACTGGTTATGAGATCCTTCGTTTCAGTCTGTTAGAACTAAAGTTTGAGGCCGGGCGCGGTGGCTCACGCGTGCAATCCCAGCACTCTGGAAGGCCGAGGTGGGCAGATCTTTCGAGCTCAGGAGTTCGAGACCACCCTGAGCAAGAGCAAGACCCCGTCTCTACTAAAAAAATAGAAAGAAATTAGCTAGATGACTAAAAATACATAGAAAAAGTTAGCCATGCCTGTAGTCCCAGCTACTCGGGAGGCTGAGGCAGGAGGATCACT